TACACACACACTGATCCTATGAGCTATGCTGTCAGGGTCTTCATGCCCCTGATAGGGACACCTGAGGTAGACAGGTTTTGGTTGAGGGATCAGACAAAGTGCAGCCCAAAGAGCCCTTATGAGTAATATCAATGAAAACAATGATTCCCTCACCGTGACTCCACTCTGGAGCCAGCCCTGGAGGTGGGGCATGCTGCCAAGCACCTAGTGGCCAGGCTTTTACCCATGGAGCCCTAAGAGGAGAAGTGGATCCCCATTCCCAAGGGGTCACCACCTGTGGGAGGGGCCAACAGGCAGGGGCCGGATGCATTGTGTGTTGGGCAGTGGTCGAGGGAGAGGACCTTGGTGGTCTGATCCTTGGCTACAGAAGCTGGTAGGGAAGGGGCCTGAGCTAGTCTGTGAGGTTGAGAGGTTCCGACTAGATATAGTTCAGAGAGAGTATGTGGAGGCCTTAATGCTCACCTGGGTAATGACAGTGAGACCTGGAGGGGCATGGTTGGGAGGAACCGCCCCCCCCCCCCCAACCTGAATCCAAGCGGTGTTTTGTTATTGGACTTCTGTGCTCATCATGGATTGTCCATAACCAACACCTGTTCAAACATTAGGGTGTCCATATGTGCTCTTGGCACCAGGACACCCTAGGCTGCAGCTTGATGATCGACTTTGTTGTCATTTCATCGGACCTGCAGCCACATGTTTTGGACACTTGGGTGAAGAGAGGGGCGGAGCTTTCAACTGACCACTACCTGGTGGTGAGTTGGCTCCGTTGGTGGGGAAGGATACCGGTCAGACCTGGCAGACCCAAACATATAGTGAGTGTCTGCTGGGAACGTCTGTCAGAGTCTCCCGTCAGACGGAGCTTCAACTTACACCTCAGCTGGAACTTCGAACTTGTTCCCAGGGAGGAGGGGGACATTGAGTCTGAGTGGGCCGTGTTCCGTGCCTCCGTTGTTGAGGCGGCTTACCTGAGCTGTGGTTGTAAGGTTGTCGGTGCCTGTCGTGGCGGCAACCCTCGAACCCACTGGTGGACACTGGCGGTGAGGGATGCTGTCAGGCTGAAGAAGGAGTTCTATCGGGTCTTTGTGGCCTGTGGGACTCTGGAAGCAGCTGATAGGTATCAACAGTCCAAGCGGATTGCAGCTCGGGTGGTCGCTGAGGCAAAAACTCGGTCGTGGGAGGAGTTCGGAGAGGCCATAGAATGGCTTTGAGGTGATTCTGGTCTGCCATCTGGCATCTCGTGGGGGAAAGCGGTTCTCCACCAACACTATTTATGGTGGGGATGGTGCGCTGCTGACCTCAACTTGGAACGTTGTGGGTCGGTGGGCGGAATAGTTCGAAGACCTCCTCAATCCTACCAACACATCTTCCCATGAGGAAGCAGAGCCTGGGGACCCTGGGTCGGACTCTCCAATCTCTGGTGCTGAGGTCACTGAGGTGGTTAAAAAGCTCCTTGGTGGCAGGGCGCCGGGGGTGGATGAGATTAGACTGGAATTCCTTAAGGCTCTGGATATTGTGGGGTTGCATTGGTTGACGCGACTCTACAATATCGCGTGGACATTGGGGGCAGTTCCCCTGGATTGGCAGACTGGGGTGGTGGTCCCCCTATTTAAAAAGGGGGACCACAGAGTGTGTTCCAACTATAGGGGGATCACACTTCTGCGCCTCCCTGGTAAGGTCTATTCATGGATCCTGGAGAGGAGGGTCCGTCTGATAGTCGAATATCGGATTCAGGAAGAGCAGTGTGGTTTTCATCCTGGTTGTTGAACAGCGGACCAGCTCTACACTCTCAGCAGGGTCCTGAAGGGTGTATGGGAGTTTGCCCAACCAGTCCACATGTGTTTTGTGGACTTGGAGAAGGTGTTTGACCGTGTCCCTCGGGGACTCCTGTGGGGGATACTCTGAGAGTATGGGGTACCAGGCCCATTGATACGGGCCATTAGGTCCCTGTATGACCGGTGCCAGAGCTTGGTCCACATTGCCGGTAGTAAGTCTGACTCGTTTCCGGTGAGAGTTGGACTCCACCAAGGTTGCCCTTTGTCACCAATTCTGTTCATAACCTTTATGGACAGAATTTCTAGGAGCAGCCAAGGTGTTGAGGGGATCCTTTTTGGTGACCTTAGGATCGCATCTCTGCTTTTTGTGGATGATGTGGTCCTATTGGCTTAATAAGATCCTGATCTCTAGCTTTCACTGGAGTGGTTCACAGTCGAGTGTGAAGCGGCCAGGATGAGGATCAGTGCCTCCAAATCCGAGACCATGGTCCTGAGCTGGAAACCGGTAGCGTGCCGCCTCTGGGTCGGGGAGCAGGTCCTGCCTCAAGTGGAGGAGTTCAAGTATCTCGGGGTTCATGAATGAGGGAAGAATGGAGCGGGAGATCGACAGGCAGATAGGTGCTGCGTCTGCAGTGATGCGGGCGCTGTACCGGTCTGTTGTGGTGAAGAGAGAGCTGAGCCAGAAGGCAAAGCTCTCGATTTACCGGTCGGTCTACGTTCCTACCCTCATCTATGGTCACAAACTTTGGGTAGTGACCGAAAGAACGAGATAGTGGATACAAGCGGCCGAAATTCGTTTCCTTCGCAGGGTGTCTGGACTCTCCCTTAGAGATAGGTTGAGAAGCTCGGTCATCAGGGAGGGACTCAGAGTAGAGCCTCTGCTCCTCCACGTCGAGAGGAGCCAGTTGAGGTGGCTCGGGCATCTGGTTTGGATGCCTCCTTGACGCCTCCCTGGTGAGGTGTTCCGGGCTCATCACACTGGGAGGAGACCCAGAGGAAGACCCAGGACATGCTGGAGGGACTATGTCACTCAGCTGGCCTGGGAACACCTTGGGATTCCCCCAGAGGAGCTGGTCCAAGTGGCTGGAGAGAGGGAAGTCTGGGTCTCTCTGCTTAGACTGCTGCCCCCGACACCTGACCCCGGATAAGCGCCAGAAAACGGAAGGACGGATTTCTGTGCTCGTCATGGATTGTCCATAACAAACACCATGCTCAAGAATAAGGGTGTTCATACGAATATGCTCTTGGCACCAAGATGCATTAGGACGGAGTTCAATAATCGACTTTGTTGTCATCTCCTATGATCTGCGGCCGCATGGGTGAAGAGAGGGGCAGAGGTTTTTGTAGATGTGGTCCTATTAGCTTCATCAGATCCTGATCTCCAGCTCTCACTGGAGTGGTGCACAGCTGAGTGTGAAGCAGTCAGGATGAGGATCAGTGCCTCTAAATCCCAGACCATGGTCTTGAACCGCAGTGCCTCCTCCGGGTCGAGGAAGAGGTCCTGCCCCAAGTGAAGGAGTTAAAAGTCCTTTGTCATGAATGAGGGGGAAATGGAGCAGGAGATCGACAGGTGGATTGGTGCTGCGGCTGCAGTGATGCGGGCGCTCTACTGGTCTGTCGTGGTGAAACCGATCGGTCTACGTTCCTACCCTCATCTATGGTCAGGAGCTTTGGGTAGTGACTGAAAGAAGGAGATCACAGATCCAAGCAGCTGAAATGAGTTTCCTCTGCAGGGTGTCTGGGCTCTCCCTTAGAGATAGGCTGAGAAGCTCAGTCATCCAGGAGGGACTCAGAGTAGAGCCGCTGCTCCTCCACGTCCAGAAGAGCCAGTTGAGGTGGTTCATCTGGTTAGGATGCCTACCTGTTAAGGTGTTCTTCTGCTTAGGCTACTGCCTCCACGACCTGACCCCGGATAAGCGGAAAAAAACGGATGGATGGAAAAGCAGAAAAATGCAACTAAAAAAAGGGAAAGTTGCAGAATAAATGCAATAAATGCATTGATTAAGGGAAAACAGAACAAAAAGGATTTTGGTTTTCAGATAGTAATATATTTTGTAATATTTGTACAATACATTCAAATAATTTGTTCATTTCAAGTTAATGTATACTTTCTGCTTTCTATTCAAAAACCTCATTAAAATGTATCAAAGGTAAACTCAGCTGTTTAATGAATGAAATGTTAAATGACTTGAACTTATATTAAATGAATGCAGACTTGCCTTCTTTTTTGGTGCTCGAGTCAGAGCTGGGGGGTCATTCCAGCCGTTCTGAGGCCCTACAGACAAAAAATCATTACAGTGTTTCATTTTTTTAAAACATTTTAATACTCTTTGTATTGTGCTTATATAGGAACTTTGTTTTAAACCCACAAAGTTCCTTATCTTTGTAATCTGATCTTAAACTAAAAATAGTAGTTATTCATTAACAACACTTGTTAAATTTAACTTTTTCCATTAAGACTATCAGTAAATATAAATTAGAACTGGTATCTACCTTCTATGAGCGTAACAAGCTTATTTATTTAAGCTATTTTATGTGATCAAATTCACCATCTGTTAGAAACTAAACGCTGCCAACACAAGCTACACCTATTGGAAAATAAACACGTCTTTAAATGAAACTGATAGTTAAAAAAACTCAACTGAAATGAGCTTCACAATCTTAAAAATACCATTACTCTCTATTTTCTTTATTCATCATCAGCCTTAACCATAAATGTTCACATGAAGATGTGTAAAATACCACTGTTCAAACATTTTATAAAGCAGGTAAATGTATGAATTCAATCTTGATTTGTTTAATCAACAGTTGACTGATAATTCAACAATTCATGAATTTATTGTAATTTTGATGAAATAATGATCATTATTTACTGATTTTATTTAATTATTATTTAATCAGCAGAACAGAGATGTGATGTTTATTTTAAAGTCTAAAGTAAATTATCAACTAAGAAAAGTATCAATGCAATGATTTGGACATTTATCCATCACTGATTGTGTCTGACATTCACACAGACAATCAGGGAGCTGTTAGTGAACAGCTGAAAAGAAAACCAGATTACCTGACAACAGATTTCTGATCCAACCTGTAGCTGAACATTTGGCCTTTTTTCTCTTTTACATTTAACAACATAAGTCCATGAACAGACTGTGAGCAGTTAGCTGCCTAAAGACTTCACAGCAGCTACAACAACCAACTCACACTTTTACTAAATCATTTTTGCTAAAAAGATAAATGATTTTCTCACATTACTGTAACGTCAATGAATTTATGTTATTACTATCAAATTAAACACTACTATTTATTAAATACTATTTAAAAACTTGTAAACTTATAACCAGTGGTGGGAATAAGTGAATAAGTTGTTCTGTAGGTTCATATATTTGTAAATCTGATTCTGATGAACTGAGTGCCTCACGTCCATGAACCTCACCGCACGTCACTGGCACCAATAAGAAACTAGTTTGATGCAATAAGTTTAAAGGAACTGTGTCACACGACTCCAGATATCTGAAATTGATTGATCAGAAATTTGTTAAACTCTTAATTCATTACTGTGTTTCAGAGAAAATGTAATAAACAGCATGTTTGGTTTGATTTATGCAGTGGTGGGCAGCGCTAATCCAAAAATTACTTCTGCAATTTCTAAAGCGCTTATGAAATAATTTAGGTTCGCAACTTCAAAAGCACTTATGCCATAGAAAAACTAGTGGAACCTAATTTTAAGCGCAAGTTCAATTTGACACTTACTAGCAGACAATTCATGTACAACATATGTACAACACTGCTAACTAGTGGTATATGAACTCTTTTACACCTTAATCCTAAAACCACTGATTGCTGGGGATGTGATTTCCTGAAACAGACCCTTGGCTCCTGGTGTAAAAATTAAAAAGTTGTTGAGGATTGCTAGATCGGCTGCTTCTTTATCTTTTTCTTTTGTTTGTTGTAGATTTTTCATTAAATAAATCTATAAAGTAATTTTAAAACTGTTTATTGGAAAACTGAAGCGATGCATTCTGGGAACATGACGAATTTGATTTGTGACGGGAAATGAAAGCACGGAGTACAGGAAACTATCTTCCCTTTAAAATAAGAGCTTGGATTTTATAATTTTCCCTGTAGTTGCTCCAGTTGACCACTAGATGTCAGTCTTCACCAGCATAACATCTTTAAATCATTTCTGAGTCTCTAACTCCATTGGCCAATTGCTTTTGAGCTGCAGCGTTTAAACTTTATTTTTTTTAAAGGAGCTCCGATTGTAAAGTAAAATAAATCAATACATACAAAATTTTAGTATGGATTACAAATGTTTACTGTTTTAGCTGGGACAGGAAGTTCTAACCATTGCCTTCCTGCTACGTAAGCAGACACAAAGCATTGTGGGAAATCAGAACCCTGACCCAAAGCAACAGTCAGCAGGATGTATACCTTCACAATAAGAGTGTTTATCTGGGAGGGGTGCTGTTGGATAGATCACATGTGTTGTGATTCATTGACAGTCATACCTTCTGCTGTTCAACATAATGATGACTGCTAGATAATTAGTTATTAGTGGTACTGCTTTTTAATTTTAGAAAGAGCAAATCTGCTTATGAGTTATAAAAATTAGTAAGACCGCTAAAGCTCAAATGAAATATTTAGGTCTGCAATTAGCGTATTTGCACTTTAACGGGCTGGTGCCCACCACTGGATTTATGAAATGATTTATACATTAGACAATAAACTCAGAGCTAAATAAACCTCTTGGTTGTAGAATTAAGCTTAAAAACTTTCCGTCCCAACTTGAGCTCCTGGTTACAGTCAGTCATTTTGTGTTTGGGACATGAGTAGTTACTTACAAGTGTCCCATTTTTATAGACACTGGCCAATGTCTTTTTTCAGGGGTACGTCAGACTTAAGCGTAAAATCCATGCATGTTTTTGGATGTGAGAGCCCTGGACAGAGAGGAGCACTTGTGTGGGGGTTCAAATACAGCTCTGGTGCTCTTGAGACAGGTTCAAGAACTCTGCAACCATTTCAAAAGAAAAGTTGTCACAATTTATTTATGTTCAAAACACAAGTGACAGGACTGTGTGCCTCTGTGAGGTAGTTGAATATTGCTCACCAACTGGCTGCAGCCCAGTAAGATACATTTAAGACTGGTGCTTTTACAGCACAGCTAGTAAAGACGTGCAGATCCTCCCTTCCTGCAGGATGATGACTTAATAAAACTTGTCTGTGTTGAGACTGAGTGAATAAAAGGAAACTTAAATCTTTGAGCTGGTTCATGCTGAGTGAGTTTGTATGAACGACAGAGAGAAAGAGACAAAGGAGGATTACAGCCATGCCACCAGCTTCAGATGTTATCATCCATGAAATGGACCTTATTAGGCGTTATCAGTCCCATAGAATGGCTTCAGAATGTCCCACCTGTGACAGTTAGCAGGTTCCCCGTCCCATAGAATGGCTTCTGATTGTCAGCTGGTTAGTATGAGGCATAAAACCACTATCTGGTTAGTATGAGGCATTAAAAAACTGGTTAATATGAGGCATAAAACCACTATCTGGTTAATATGAGGTATAAAACCACTATCTGGTTAATATGAGACATAAAACCACTATCTGGTTAATATGAGACATAAAACCACTATCTGGTTAATATGAGACATAAAACGAAAGTTACGTATGTAACTACGGTTCTATGAAT